GTATACAGGAGGAGAAGCATGCCAAATTGGAGGTGACTTGGATGGGAAACGAATCACAATAGTGTGCATTGCATTGGCAAAGCACACTGATAATTGTAACAGAACAGACTGTAAATTCTGCTCAGCAAAGCACAACAAGCAGTTGAATAAAACATAAAACAATGTTGAGTTATAACAGCAGCAGAACCCAACTGCAGCTGCTCCTCTTATATTCAAACACATTGTCAAAGTATTTGTATGAAATATAATGGCATTTCTCAGTAAAAATACAATGTTTCTCCTCTCTCTGTGCTCCTCACCTAGCCGCCCAGACACATCTTTCTCCTGGTTCGTGAACCCGTTCAAATGTTTCTTCCACTTGATCTGGGGAAGCTACAAGAAGTACATCATCATAGCCTTGGTCCTCCTCATCACCGCGCTCTTCCTCGCCCTGCTCTTCTACACTCTGCCAGGAGCCATCTCCCAGAAGATCGTCAACGGATAACAGAACACAGCACATTTWTATGCAGAAAGATAGATTGACTTCACATGAGCTTCTTTTCAAACGTCCATCTGAAACCTATCAAATCTGAACAAGAAAACTGCTCTGCTTAATTTGAAAGTTTTACAGATTTTTTGGTAACATTTTATAACTACACTTCTTTAAAGCTTTACTTTATCATTAATAAATGGTTTGTTAACTTTGATCATTAACTGGGATGATTCATACTTAAGCTATAAATTAACACATTWATGCTTTAGTKRTTATTCATATTTCATGTTTAATCGGAGTATAATTCAATGATAAAGTCAGCACCGTGAATGAAAACTATCTGTACTKCAGACACATTTAGTCACTGAACAAWTGAGTAAACTGTGGGAATACAATGTTTCTACTTAGAATGACATGAGATTACAACCAGGATAACTGCTGGCAGGTCAAATTTGGCACCTCTGGCTTAGAGAAWGTTTTATTTGACTGGTTTCAGTCTGATTTCCACAGCTAAAAAGGAACTTGTGTCCCTTCGTGTTTTTTTTCTACATTAATAAAAGCATTAAAAAGCATTAATGGTCTTCATTTTAGAAGTGTTCTCAAAAACACTTGAGTACTAACATCTGCCTTAATTATTTATGCAATGCAGGATTAGTAGTTAGTCAATTCAAATGTTCTCTAACCATTAATGCATGTCTAACATCTGGTGTAAAAGTACATTTATATTAGTATGTACATACATATTAATCAATCAATCAATCAATAAC